TGATACATACTGAGTATACTTGCGCGTGCCCATTTTCTACGTTGAAATTGACTCGCTAAATACTGGCTAAGACACCCACAAACTGTAAACTGAGAAGTAATGTCTCATTAGATCTCAACTTCCGAAGCCCGAAGGATATTTGGGTAGAAAGCAGAAATCAATTCACACATTGAAAGTGTTACCTTTCAAGAGGAGGTGCATTAACGTGCTTGTGACGGTGCATTTCTAATTTAAATGCGTGTTAAATTTTAAGAGTATTCACAACAGTACATTTAATGAAGATCGCTGCAAGTGCTACAGTACAGTCAGCAATATCTACGATCATTAATGTAAAGATTAGGTTGAGTGACAGCTCTTTCTTGAATTGATCTGGTAATTCCCATTTATCTGGAAAAGACGGGGGATGGAATGGAAAACGCTTTGAGCGTTTTCGCAAATTTTAACGGTGAACAGTATTTTTCTTATGGCTTTCTTGAGGTCAGGCAAACTGGAATGGTAGATCAGGGATTGAAGACGCAGCTGAGATACTTTAAACATACCACCGTTGTGAAGAGAGTGTCATTCCAATAATTAGTAAGTTCCACGATGATAAAGTATATCATAGATGGAACGTAGCAAACGAGAACGTTAAGGGTCAGAAGAGCGAATATTCTGTGCATTTTGCCTCTTCTTGTCGCCTGCCGCGAGATTTGCCCTTCGTGGCATCCTCATGGGAGGAAGCATTTCCGCTAATCCGAGGCGCAGATGTGTCAGGCCGAGTGCTGAAATGACCTGTGACATAACAAGATTAAATAACAATGGCGAAGCGTTAATACATAGTTGGATTAACAGTTTTTCAAGGTCAACCTGCCAACGTAGACTTGGATCAAATTCTACATGATAATTAAATCTTTTCAAATCAAATCTGAATAGCATACAGCGGATATACAGTTGTATATTTGAATCCTTACTGATTGTGTTAGAAACGGCATTGGATGGATAAGTACGCTTCTTTATCGACCGTCGCGAAAGCTTAAAAAATTATCCCATAACGACCCAAAACAAACACCAGTGGTAGATCGAAACCCACGTATTCGATAACCATAGAATAAGTCGGTTGAGCATCGTAATTAACGGCGCACGGTAAGGTCATTCGATCATACCAAACAGCGTCCATCAGAGTAAGGAGTAATTAATGTAATTAGAAACAGCCACATCAAGCTGCAGATCAAGGATGTGCATCGAACCGATCGAATATTGCGATAATACACAGGAGCAAATAGGGAGAAAAGCCGGTCAAGACTGACCAGCATGACAGTGTAACCGATACCAACAATGAGAGGCTTGTCAATGACATTAAAGTACGGACAATAACGGGAGGCAGTGGATTTCGGGAGGAAAGCCAGCAGCACGGAACCCAGCATATCGAACATTGCTAAACCAAGGTCACACAAGGCCACGTTCAAGAGGTAGTAAGTAAAGGATTACGGATAGTAACATCTCGAATAAATGCAGAGATGAAAACCAAATTGTACGTACGCTATTGTAGTTGTGCCGATTATTTACGATAGCGTGATATGCGTAAGGTACAGAATCCGGCACAGTTGCGGTATTGTTGTTCAAAGCGCGTAATGTCTCATTTCCATCAACTGAATGGTTCATTTTGGAATATCCAATGAAAAGTGTCCGTAGAATGTCAAAATGTCTAGCAACTATGAACAATTTACGATAAAAGCGAGATCACAGTTTTGAAAGTCCCAATATGACGAAAGACACCTGCGATGTTTGATGGTGTACAAAATGCCGAAGAACATAGATACTTGTTATTTTCACATCCGGATTTAGGTCTTGTCCATTAAAATACACTACGCAAAGCGGAAGTATGATGTCAAAGCGTTCGGAATTGCATTAAATTGATTGAAGCAAGAGCAGCCAGGTAACTCCGAAGAGGTGTAGTGTTACGGTACTGTGTACTAATTAGCAGACTTATTTAGAAGACTGCAAAGGTGCGTGACGGATCTTCCTCATTTCTTTTGCAGTCAATATTCTTCGGGTCGGGTTTCTTGCCTTCTGGAGATCAATGTAATTCGTTTGGTAAGTGAGCAAATATTAAAGTTGCACTTCCAGTAAGTTGTGAAGAGGTGCAGCTGTGAACATCATCAATTTTTATTCCGGTATTTTATTTGATCTCCTTCTTAGCAGGTGTTAACCAGCAAGCGCCTTCTCATATATATACATAATTATTGAAGGGAATACTTTTTTTACTTTATGCACAATATATCTTTGCAATAGGTAACTGCATTCAATAATTTAAACTAACGCAGTGACATTTTTATGGCAGTCACATCTTTCTAGATCTATTCCAGATATATACGAAAGCAAGTGAAATGTCGTATTAATTGCATAGTTAAAACGGTAGGTAGGTACAGACATTGGATTCCTTTGCTTAGATCATCTAGGACTGCTAACTGGTTTCACCAAACGGTCGACGACTGGTGACGCTTCCCCGCAGTATCCACCCAAACATTTCCCGGCTGAGCGGTGAACGCTTCCCCCTCAGGACTAATAATCAGACCCTCTTCTTTGTCCCCTTCGAGATTTTTGCAAACCCATTTGTTGTCTTCCGTAATCACGGAAATGTAGACTTTTTCAGATTCTGTTTTTGGCCGAAACGTTAAGAAAGTGCCTGGAGCAATTTTCGTAAAACCGTTCTTATGTGCTCCAGCATCTGCAAAGGATTAGTAACTTGCACCAGTACTAACGGTGATCTGCACGTCATGTGCTTTCAAACAATAATAAGAATTAAATAGACTATAAAAGGGTTAAAATTTTTACCAGCTCCATCCGGTAAATCTGCCGGAATTCCGAGGACTTGCACGTAGATATTTTTGAGTAAGCGTTAGCCACGCTAACATAACTGGAGTTGTTGCCCATCTTACAGGTTCTGCGTTACAACGATCCAAACAATACGAAATAGAATCTTTATAAAAGAAAGTGAATTGATTTCGATTTCTAGTGAAGTGTCAATGGTCGGAGAATGCACGAGTCCTACAATTTGCTATCTAGTTGAAATGCTAGCGTAAATATCAAATGGTGTTTATCGCATTTGTCGATTACACAATTTAGTGGTAGCATGAGTGATAACGCACAAAAGATATCGAACAATTTGGATAAGACTAAATCTGGATTTCTTACTGTAAACCGGAGTTTGAAACCATTGATACCGCATCGGGCGATATATTGTTTTAGGCTAGTTTGTTCACTTTTGTTGCCATTCAAAGCATGGCGTTTCCAGAGTTAACGAGAAACAGTGGCAAGTAAGTTACCAATGAAGAAACAATATCACAAAGGGCAGTGACATAAATAAGCAGATTCTTTAATAAGGACATTTGATTTATTGCAGCCCCATTAAATGCAAAGGTACAGATATGTGCCAAACGTTTTCCGTAATTAAGATGTAATCATGTACATAGTATATACCGCATCAGTTAGTGCCCGGTTTCGCCTCTATCTAGACTATCACAATCTTCCAGCAGTTCCGCTGAAATTCTACATGAAATTATTTGCTGAAGTCTCATTATTTTAAACCAAACTTTGTGGCGTAAATACCACATAGCGATAATTTAAAGCATCGACTTGCAATCGCTGCAACTTGTTGTTCAGCGAATCGAAACTTGGTCGTTCCGACTTCTTCCACTCCCAACAACTGAGCATGATATGGTACCTGCCAAAAAGATTTTATTATGGTCGGTGCATCTCATTCAGTATACTTTTGAAATACAATAGTTAAATGACTGCGTACACTTCATCGGGTGATGGCTCCGGTTGCTTTAAACGATTGCCGCTGTCAAGAAAGTTCAGAATATCTTGAGCCATGCAGCTTCCCAACTGATCGACGTATGGCAGCTGACACCATGTGAAGATCTCCCAAACAACTACGCCGAATGACCATACATCAGTGGAGTAGCTGTACTCGCCGATGAGAATGGACTCGGGTGACATCCAGGCAATGGGCGAACGGATCTAGTCATACGAATTATACAGGCTACAAATCAAGTCCATCTGTAACCGTGTTGGATATCTTGCCCTCAGATCTACTTACATCTTTCTGATTTCGCTGTACACTGGACCACATTTGGCCATTCCGAAATCCGATATTTTGAGAACGTCACATTGGCTGACCATGATGTTTCGTGCTGCAAGATCACGGTGGATAATTTCTTTGGACGCCAGATGCTGCATACCGCTGCAGATCTGACGCGCATAATCCAGAAATTGTTGATTATTAGAAGTTTGATTGGTGGTACCACACAGTCGCTTATTTCGGAGATATACATCCAGAGATCCGTGCTCGCAGTATTCCATTAAGCTTAACGCAACCTGAAACAAGTGGGTGATGCCGGAAAATTAAAAGCGAGTTTAATGGGACCCTCTCTTCTTTAGGCCATGGCAAATAAAACTACCTAATAAAGGCTTATTGCCTATTAATTAAATAAATTAATTTAGTGAACTGGTGCAAGCTTACCTTCCGTTACGATGCCAACGAGCTGGACAACGTTGACATGGGACGCAGCTTTGGCCATCATGGCGATTTCCTCCATGAACTCCTTCTCGCTAACCGCACTGCCTGATTGACGTCGCTTAATGGCCACTGCACTCTGGGCATGCGAAGCGCTCTGCATGCTGGGACTCACTGAAAGCTGTCGTAGTCGCTCAGGACTGGTCGTAAGAATGCCCTTCCAGACCATTCCATAACAGCCACTTCCAACGGCATCCGTGTCTAGAAACGAATTGTTTTTCGTAAAGTTGGTACGATTAGCGTCAAATGAAGTAGGAAGTATTACCAGCTTTTAAATTCCAAGCTTGGATTTTGTATTCGTCGTAGAGTGAACCCAGAAATCGACGAGCAAGTCTGGTGGATACGGTGCTGGATTGGTTTTCTGTCCAAGCGTAAGATGTATCAGCCGCTTCAGAAAACGTTAACCTTCGTTGATTTTGTCTGCACAGCATATTACACGTACCTGCTGCTGACGTTTTCTGGCATATGCGAAGACAAGGCCGGCAGTCAGACCAACTGCCACTGAGGCAAAGGTCAACGTGATCCATAGCCAGGTAAAATAGTTTTTGTCGTCTGTAGTAAACGATATAACGCTTATGCTAGTTCATTTGTCGTTCATAACTAAGTCCAGACATTACAAACACACTTTTTTATGAATCGCGATAATTTTATTGCTTTTTTTAGACCTGGACTCGTTCTTATGTACCTATGTAGTACATTTATACATTCTGGCAAGTCATTTTAGTGGTCGTTCGCTAATACCTGCGCTGTCGATTATTTGTTGTATTTACTGATTTTTGACTAACCTGGTTTAACTTCCTGATTTGGGCAAATGCAGGAAAATTGTGACAGAATATAAGACGAACGGGCGGAAGAATCAAGTTGTTGGTTGTTGAATTAGCCATACTCGACCGTGAGTTTTCGGATATATAGTACAGCATGCAGGATTGCTGCAGCTTAAGGGAGCGGATTTTGGGGATGTCTTTCTGACGCACACCTTGCTTCTGAGCGGAATCTTCCACAATATTTAAAACCATTCCGTTAAAATCTGGTTCGGAAAATACAGTAGCGCAAACGTTGTAGGGTTCCAACGCCAAACGGAACCCGCGATCAGCTGCATTAGGATGTGAACGAAAGGTCAAAGTCTGCAAAACGCATCACAATATTAGTTATTCGAATCCGCCATTAAACCGAAATCTGACTTACGAAATTTTGGCTGTATAGAATATAAGTGCGATTTTGATGGTTCTTGTTGAAACAGAGACGATCGTCGCGCAGGATTAGGTGCCGGCATTATGTGCAAGAGAAGATTCGACGATGCCATAGTCTGTTGAAATTAACCAGTAAATATTTAAACTGCACCAGTCGACTGAGAACTATCTGTTCAGCTTGACTACGGTTTAACCTTTCTCTTGTATTTCAAGATATTCCTCTTCGCAGACGACATATTCCCGACGGTCATCGTTATAAGGCAACGGCTCGGGTAGGTAAATAGGTAGGTGTAACTATAGATAGCACAGAAATGCGGTAAAACTGGCTTGTTGCTTGAATGCTACTCGTAGTAAGCTGTACCTACATTCTCAACTCGCAGCAGAGTTTGTGCGCCTTGCGGTATAAAGATGTTCCACTGGCAGAATGTTTCCCGTGGATTTTTTCTTTCATACTGGATTATTGCTCCATCGCTACCAATCGTAAGATTTCTGTTGCATGAAGCTGAAAGTTTTATGATTTCAGGAACACTGGGAACACATTCAGTCACGAAAAAGATTATTAATATTTACCTGATGGAGCCGGTTGACTCACAGCTGCAATCATGAAAAACGTAAGAAATTTATGAAAACTGTTTACGTATGTTATGTATGGGAGAAGAAACTGTTTGTTAACTGTTTATGTTATGTATGGGGAAATGTACCTCGAATGGCAATTCTGAAGCCGAAATGGTGATTGTTGTCGTCGTTAGTAATAAAGGTTGCGTGCTGTAGTGAAAAATTCCATTTATCGTTGTTTCAATGCCACATAAGTAAGTGCACTACAGCTGAAAATTTTATTTACCAGCTTGTTTGTGTTCGGGAAGAGAACCCCTTCCGGGGCCTTATTTCCGACATACTGCGCACCGGATGCCAAAGAAGCGAATCTAGTAGAATTTGTCGGCACAGGTGGATCTGCAACAGAAATATATGTAATAATTACTTAATAATTTTAACATGCCTGCAAAAAGTTGACTTTACCGAGTGATAAATATAGATAATCCGCTGAACGAGAAAATATGTTTGGAAAGTAGTTAGTGTAGTCGACCTCAAATTCTCCACCTAAAAACTATTCAAGGCTCCAGTTTCAGAAAACTATTGGTGCTGAAATAACAGTTATCTTACTTCCACATCATAACCTTCTGGAGTGTAAAGTATCCAGTCGCATCTCAAATTTGGCGCAAGCTGTGCCGGATAACCCGGAGTTTGGAAGGTGTAATTGCGACCCGGAAGAATATCGATTTCGCCACCACATTGTCCTGTATTTCACAACATAGTAAAACAAATATTTTGTAATTAGAGAAAATTCTAAAAGAAGTATGGCAATTACCTGGAATACTGGAGTGCGAATAAATAATGCAGCAGGAGACGATTAATAATATTCCCAGATTGGAAAATGTCATTGTTCGACGGAAATCCACAATGTTTGCAAACACTTAAATGTCAATTTAGCGATTATAGGTTTGCGGTCTGATATGCAATGTTTAATAATAACGAATCGACGCTGACATCCGCGTGCGGTGTTTAGCCAAAAGTGTGAATGTGGCAAGTGACAAGCCTTATACACAGTACGGTAACTTTCTTGGTACATTGCGACTCGGTATCAACTCGCAACCGAAGTCCACGGCGTTTCCATGTATTATGTCGTCAGTTAATTAAGCACAACAACCTTTAGGCAGCTTAATTAAGTGACTATCGATTTTGTTTAATATTATGGTGAGATTCCTCGTTTTCCGAATACATATTTTTGCGCAGTACCAATAAATAAACGTGTACAACTGGAAAAAAACGCTTGAAACGGTGTTTTATTATTGTTTTAATAATTTTTATTTTCTTTTAACTTTTTTATTTATTTTTCCAACCGATTTTTTGTTTACATCGTCCAATGCTCCAAAATTTTGGAGTAATTCTGCAGTAAAAAAAGTAAAGCCCACACTTTGTCGTGTATTCGTTTTACATGATTTCCAAGCGCACAGAGTCTGTATGTTTTTGATGCGCGTAGATGCAGCGGTGCCAATTCGTTGGATCCCTTGCGTGTGTAAAGAACCAACTGGTAGCCTATGTATTCCAGAGTTGCCGTTCGGAAACGTCAATATTTTTTGTTTGCTTCCGGTTAATAAGAATGTGTTAGTTCCGCATAAGGATCTGATATCTGTCAACTTAGCTCAAGATAAGAAAGTGATAAAATGTTAAATTAGCGGTATGGGTTTTGCTGACTAATACAGAGACTGTATCAAAATACGGATGTGCTCCGAATCAGATGGCAACATGTCGGCTTAAGTGGCAGCATTTTGTAGCTGCGTATGGCATTACTTCCGTCGGAAATAGAAATTCAAAGGATTGCGACAACTGTAAATCAGCGCTTGTATTTGACGCAGCGATTTCATGTATAAATAATCTGATAAGGTTCATCCTGACTTCATAGGTTGCTTTATAATAAAACCTGCGATTTAAAGCTGAACTTGCTGGTTAATTTAATAAGTAATTCGAACTTTCAACTTCGCGCCCGTACAATACATCGGTATCATCTTCGATCAACGATTGCGAAAACGATATAAATCGACACAACTGCCTCTGCAATACTACAGAGTTTGCGGTCCCAGAATACTTACAACTGTTTCAAGATTTCTGTTTTGCTGCTTAAAAAATGGCTGCCAGCAGCGTAGCGGTGCTCTGCATGTTTATGGTGATGACCTTAGTCGTTAAGAGTCAGGCTCAATGCTTAAATGAAGGAGCGCGTTGCCGAACGGGATATGGACACACTTGTTGCAGTGGCTTCTGTCTGCATGACATTGGCAAGTGGGGATACTGTCTACCGGCACATCCATACACATCGTACGTCAAAATTTTGCATAACCTAACCGCCCCGTCCAAAGCATTAGCTGCATTACCGTAAGCTCGTCCTTTTTTTACAGCGGGCCACCAACTTGTCTTCCCTTAGGTGCGAGATGTCGTACCGGCGAACACCAGTATTGCTGCAGCACACGATGCCAGCATGAACCGGGGCAATTTGGAGTATGTGTCGTCTGATCCGCATTAGGACTTCCCATGCGCGTCGCAAGTGTTTTTTCACACCCATGAATCTTTCGTTCTTTCAGTTTAAACCTGGAAGTAAATTATACAGCATGTTCTTATTATTTTCGGATGGCACTTTAATAATCTTATTATCTTCTCATTGTTATGGTACACTCTTCCTGGCTAACTTAAATACCATACATATTAACTTTACCGAATTTGTTCGCCCATTTAGCAAACACGTAATAAAACCCTAATATGTTGTTACTTGAAGCATCGCATATTTTTTCCGGTAAGAAATCTGTGCTTTCGATAAGACCTGATCATCAAAACCATCTAGAAAACGCGCATTAACGATCATGACCTTTAAAAAACAGCACCGCGTTATTTCGGCCGCAAATCGCATTTGAATGCATCTGAGAGGTGTAGACTACAGAGTACAGTAAATACTTCTATAGCAGTTCTCAAAATAACGATAAATTTAATCTTGTTAGTACTGTCACTGCAAAAATATGCGGTGCGACATCATTTTCTGTTACTTTAATTTAGAGAGGGTGGCTACCCAGCTTCGTCTGACCAGGCTAGAATGGATAGTAGTAAATTCTGAGTGCCCTTATTGATTGACCAATACAGTATAATTACGCCTGCAGCGGCTTGTTGCAGAATTTACTAGGGTTGCCAACCACAAGCGTTACCATTATCGACAACATCCTCCTCTTTTTCGATGGCTCAGCACAAGGATTCTGATCAAGTGGTTTCGCGTTGCAGTTTGTGTGTAGAAGTATGCATGGATGGATCAACAGCAGTCAGGGGCTCAAAGTGAATCGTTAGTTTGCCTGCAAAACCGACAGGCAAACTAACGCAAGCGAATCTAATTAAATAATAACTTATTATTATACTGTATTGTACTCGACGAGGCCTACTCGTAGGTTCTAAGGCACTGCGTCACTGCAGCGTCAGATATCTAAAGACCGATGAATAGGTATAACGCATACATGAAAAGAAAAAAGACGCGATTCTGATCATGATCTGGATGCAATACGAGCTGTTTTTATCCTCGAGGGATCACAAGTGCTATTCAGTCGGTCCATTTTGTGCGAAAACTTATTCCGAGATATAAGCAATTATTTCAATAATTGGTATAAATTATAATGAGGATATGAGCAATTATTTCAATAATAAAAATTGGTGACCTTTCCATCTGCAACAATTTCTCCGTTTCTGTATAGATTTTTTGGTAGTTCACAATTTGGTTGTTACACAGGCTGTTGCTGCTCATGTAATCCTACTGCAAACAGGCAAAGTGTGCACAGGGTACTATAAAATTTAATATTTTTCGATAACCTTCGAAAGCCGCGAAAAGTACAGTAGTACTTCGATGTGTCTTAAAACTGGTCACTTTGAGTATGAGGTTCAAAACGCCGATCACTGGCCTTGGCTCAGAGTTTTAATTCATAGGTCTTGTTTCTGTGAGAGAATAGCTTCCGACTAAAATAACCGTGTGGCTGGTTCACGAAAACAGCGCTTAGTATGAAAACCGGTCATTTTACAAGTTTTGTTCTTTAAAGTGGTTTCAAGGAGTGATCGGTGTTCGAAGTCGTACACTCATAACGACCAGACTTTGAAGCACATCGGAGTACTGCAGATAGACCTAAGTGCAGACACTGACGGAATGGAGTAGGCAAGGTCACGCATTACCCATAACGCGAATAATTTATTATCACATAATAATTATAGTACTTTATTTTTTTCTTTAGTAGTTAGCTTATTCTGGCGTCCAGCAGGTATTGCCACGTGTCACCACCGCCCCGTTTCTTGTATCACGCGGTGCGGTGATGCGTACAGATACGCTGCTGACTCATGGACTAAATGAAGACAGAAACCGAAATGGAATCAGCCAAACTTCCTGCTGGTTACAGAACGTTACTTCTCCCTTTAATTCAAGGTATTTTCCATATCGTTTGCGGCGTTAAATTTGTTTTTCTTGAGGTTAATTCCAGGGTTTTCTATACGACGTTGCTTTGTCGAACGCTTTATTTGGTTGGAAATCCGGGTCCACGGTAACCGCACCTTCAGAAAAGCAGTCGGCCGGTACTGATAAATGCTAATTTGTGAAAAGTCGATATAATGACCGTAATGCACATAACAATTGGACAACTCCTTTCTTTCGTCCGTGAAAATGCCGTTTAGACAAGAAATTAATGCAAAGCTTTATCCTTAAAAGAAAAATTATTTTTGCTTCGTATGGCAATTGGCATTATGGAGCAGTAATTACACGGTCTTGAAAGGATGAATCGAGATTTGTTTGCTCCTTTTCAAAGGTAATGTGGCTTTCGACAGAAGCCTAGAATTTTGCGCTTTTATGACCAGTGAGCAACCGGAGAAAAACAGTGCTGTGTGATACCTTGAGCACCTTGAAAAGTAACGTTTGGTTCCACAGCAACGTTGGTTTATTTCACTTGTTAGTTCGAAGGTTGAAAACTTTAAGGATGTCCAGGTAAGGATGCATGGTCCAGTAGCGTCTCAACGAGTCTATTTGTCGTAAATCGTTAACAGTGTTACCCGAACTAATTTACTGGAGCTCTATGTAAACTAATTCAATATTTTTCTCGAGGTCACACTGAATTAGCTGTTTTCCTCCGTCGACCTCAGTACGACCGGCAGCTTCGAATTCGGAACAGAGCCTCCAGATAAACTTGCACGTGTAACAGTCGCCAGATATTGTACCGAAAGTTAAATAATTTATCTTCGTAATTTTTGATTATAGTATTTATTCGTATTTAGTATTTATAGCAAATGTAGACCTGTGTCAACAGAATTGGCAGTTATTGTGATACTGGCAATATTACTATCATTCTAATTATACTGCCTGGTAGTGTGTGCCATTTTTAAGTCGTCCATTGTGCGATTTCCTTCGCTTTCATGAGCCTCATAAATGAAAAGCAAATCTGAGGTAAATTGGGTAGTGCGTGACTGTTACGAAAGCAGCATAGCTGGATAGTGTTTGTTCACAACTGAACAACAATTAAGAGTCAGAAGCGCTTCTGCTGTGGATTAATTTATTCCTCGGCTTTTCGCAATACTAGTACCTTACTTTTGTAACTAAATGTATAATAATTATGATACGCAAAATGCAAAAACCAATATGATCGCATTTTTGTGAGTTTTCATAAATTCGAAAATTTTGCAAAACTACTCTGTAACTTCCTTCCTATTTACAGCCGTACCATTTTGCTGTATAAATTATACTGTCTAATGCTACGAAACAGAAATAATGCCAAACGTAGATGTCTTTTATCATTCAAATAATTAAAATAATTATTCAACAGTACAACAAGTTTTCTTTGCTTCAAAGAAGAAAACTGAAGTTAATCACAGCATGATGCGCGATCGTACATATGACTTTCAGCGACCTCGAAGCAACTTCCTAATAGCTTCTTGGAATGCAGGTAGACTGGTGTGATAAATCAGCGGATTGAAAAGGCAGCTAAGGTACTGCAGGCATATTACAAAGGCAA